AAAAAAAAAAAAAAAAAAAGCTGACTGACTTTTGTTTAGAATTCTGTTTAGTCAGGCTTCCAGAAAAGCTTTTTCAAATGAGAAGTCCAGGGTAAAAATATGGAACAGACTGGAAATCTTTGCTATACTCCTTTAAAGAGGAGGAGGGAGGGGGATAGAAAAGGGGAAGACTTGCGTTTACTGCCGCAGCCCCTGCAAGGCACAGTCTATGCATTTCCACTCCACTCCTCTTCCAGGAAGCCACTGCCACCTCACAGCCACCTGCAGCCTCACAGTGAGGCTCTTCAGATGATTGTAAAGAACTTCCAACTCCTGCTCCCTCGCCCCAGGCCCTCTGTGATCTGGAGACCCTAAACTCATCACATCTAAACTCTGGTGGCCTGAAGCTCTGCTCCTGTGGCCTGAGGAAGGCTGGGTAGAAGGCAGCTGGCAGGCTGTGGCACCACCTGCCTTGCCCTCTCCCCCAACAGCAGCCTGGCTCCTTGCCCCCACGAGGGCACAATCAGTGTGACAGTCTTCATGAGCAACCCCTGTCCTCCCCGCCCCAGCCCTCTGGGGTGTGAGGAGTCAGCAGGGACACACTCCCCATCCCCGCCAGGGCCATCTGCACTCAATTATAAGTCCTTTGGAAGCCAGCAGAGGGCTGTTTGCTGCTGATGGTTCTCTATGATTAGCTTGCTCTTGTTTCTTGAATATTGCATATGGTGCAGCCCGCTGTGGGAAGCATTCTCAATTCAAGAGTTTTTCCCCTCAAAAAGAAAGGCCCTAAACTAGTTGTTATTACTGTGGGGAAGAAGAAAAAAAGTTTAAAAGTCTTACTTTCTGGGTAAGTTCCCTTCTCCACCTTATAATTCCACCTCTTCCCAGGACTGGGACCATCCCTTTGTTTAACTTCTACAGTCGCATAGATACTTGCTTGCTGCAAATGAGACTTGCTAAGAAATATCAAGAGAGCATGTAATTCCAGCTCATGGATCATCCATAGTCCAGTGACCTATTCTCTCTTTCTGTGTGTGAGAGAGACTGGATGTTAACAAGGCATCCTTTTAATGAAACCATTCCAGAGACTCAACTCTGTAATAACTCAGGAGCCAGGGCCCACTGCCCAGGCTTACCTTCTTTCCCAGGTGCTGAGCCAAGAACAGAAGCAATGCTGCATTGTTCACGCTTGAAATCTCCACTGTTCTCTGGCTGGGTTGGGCTGTAAACCAGCATTAAAATCACTAGGACACTTACTAAAATGCAGATTCCCAGAAATACACCATGGAGAGGAGGACTTGAAATCCAGGCCCACACATGAGTGGAGATCCAGAGAAGCTGGAGGTTTTGGAGTCCTGTGAAGAGTGATAATTAAAGCCACGAGATTAGCTACAGTCCAAAGGTAAAAGAGTATGGAAATAGAAGATAGCCCCTTCTTCCTCATCTCTCTGCACTAGGCAAATAAACTCATTTCTTTTCTCATAATACAGAGGCTGTATGGTAAACAGCAGCACAAATATGGCAATAACCATAGGGCACATCTGTGGATATAAAAGTTCTTTGCAGCATGAGTTCAGCTGGCTAACTTCTCTGGGTTTTAGGAATCCATCTACAAAGTGAAATGAATGGCTCTATTTACCATGACAAGGAAAGAGAGAGAAATAAAAATGCCTAATTAAATATTTAGCAGTAAGACTGCCCCAAGAGTGATTTCAGTTTTTTTGATAAATGATTTTGAGTGTGTCCAAGTAGAAGAAAATCTGTACCTATTATGGGTTGTTATATTAAGGATAATGGGCGCCAGGTGTCTCACTGTCTGAGAAGGGGGTTACCAGTCTGGAAAGGGAGAAAAATAGAAAGAAGCCTGTGGTGTTGGACTGGACTTGTAGGTACTAGTGAACCCACTGAACCCATTTCAGTATAAACCAAACCCATTGCTGTTGATTCCAACTCGTAGTGACCCTACAGGACAGAGTAGAACTGCCCCATAGCGTTTCCAAGGAGCAGCTGGTGGATTTGAACGGCTGACCTTTTGGTTAGCAGCCAAGCTCGTAACCACTGCACCACCGGGATAGGGAAGTACATTTTGATGTTAATGTGAGCACATTTAGATGTATATGTATGTGTATACCTGTACACACCTGCACAGCTTCCCAGGACCACAATAGTAATGAGCACACCTAGCATGTAAGTCTTGGCTTTTTAAATAATTTTCCACTGATTAATCAAGGCTGGGTACAGAAAGTAAAAGACGAACCTCGAGTGTCTTGTGTCAGAAAGTAAAGAAATGCTCAACATATAATGGGGACATGTCGAAAGGACACAGGACATGGAGTTTATGTTAATGGTGATGGAATGATTTGGAAAAGGATAGCAATTGCACAATTTGAAGAATGTAATCAATGTCATTGAATTGTATATGGAGAAACTGTTGATTTAGTGTATGTTTGGTTATGCATATTTTCACCACACAGACACAAAAAAAGACACAGGGGCCAGCTTGAAGGTGTTCCCACTGACCATATCTGTGACCATTTAAGCATCTGAATAAATCCTAACAGTTATGGATTTTTTTCACTTAAACAATGTATTTTATTAATGTTTTTTATTGTATATTAGGCGAAAGTTTACAGAGCAAATTAGATAACCATCTGATAGTTTGTACATAAAGTGTTTCATGGCCTTGGCTTTACTTCCCACAACGTGTCTGCACTCTCACTGTTTCTGCCCTGGGTTCCCCGTTTCCTTTTGTCCTGATTTTCTACCCCTTTCTTCTCATGTTTGCTTTTGGACAAATATTGCCTTTCTGATCCCGTATAACTGACTGTTCTAAAGAGCACGTTCCTCTCAGGTCTTATTATTTTATGGGCCTATCTATTGTTTGGCAGGAAGGTGGTCTCTGGGGATGGCTTCAGTTCCAGGTCAGATGGGTGTCTTAGAGCCATCCTCCAGTCTGTTAGAATTTGTGAATTTGATTTTTTGTTTTACATTTTTCTCCCACTGTGTCCAGGATCCTCTGTTATAATCCAAGCCAAGCAGTCGGTAGTGGTAGCCAGGCACCATCCAGTGGTTCTGGTCTCAGGGTCATGTAGGCTGTGGTTCACGAGGTTCATTAGTCTTTTGAACTCATTGCTCCCTAGATTTTTTTTTTTTTTTTTTACTCTCCTTTGCTCCAGACTGGATGAGACCAATAGTTGTACCTTTGACGGCTGCTCGTAAGCTTTTAAGACCCCAGATGTTACTCACCAGAATAGGATGCAGAACATTGTCTTTGTGAACTATGTTGTGCCAGATGATATAGATGTCCCTTGTGTCTATGGTTCTTTGCTTTTGATCCTAGGAACTCTGTCACACAAGGTGTTTGGTTACGTCTAAGAAGTTTCCCTGACTGTGCCCCTTGTGTGCTCTACTTACTGTCTGTATTAATATATGAGGAGCACCTACAGTCATGTATGTAGAAATATCCACCACCAATCCTGTATCTGCCGGTGGGTGCGTTCCCTTACACCCTCCCACACCTCTTGGCATATCTATGTATCCATTCGTAAATTATCTGTTAATACTATTGGTGCAGGATTGTCTATGCTACAGTAGTTACCGTAGTCATCCTTTATTCCTGCTTTCCTCCGTGTCCTCTCTTGCCTTGGTCATAATGTGCTGACTTCTCCCATATTGTGTATCACATTTCCCTTCATCAATATTAATGTGTATCTACTATTTGGTAATTTTCCCTCCATCCCTCTCCCATCCCTGGTAACCAGCATTTTTTTTCTATGTGTAAACCTCTTGTTACTTTATAATAAACAGTCTCATACGGTATTAGTCCTTTTGTGACTGATTTATTCAGCATAATATCCTCCAAATTCAACCATGTTGTGAGATGTTTAACGGATTCGTCATTATTCTTTATCGCTGCATAGTATTCCATTGTCTGTATGTACCACAGTTGTTAATCCATTAATCTGTTGATGGGCACTTGTTTCCACCTTTTTTGCTATTGTGAATAATACTGCCATGAACATGGGTGTGCATATGTCTGGTTGTGTGACGCCTCATTTCTTTGGGGTATATACCTAGGATTGGGATCACTGGATCATTCGGTATTACTATTTCTAGCTTTTTGAGGAAGCACTATACCATTTTCCATAGTGGTTGTACCATTTTACATTCCCACCAGCAGTGTATGAGTTCCAATCTCCCCATAGCCTCACCAACATTTGTTATTTTCTGTTTTTTTGATTGATGCCAGTAATGCCAGGGAGAGATGGTACCTCATTGTAGTTTCCATTTGCGTCTAATTGCTAATGATTGCTAGCATTTCTTCAGTTTGTTAGTAGCCTGAATGTCTTCTTTGGTGGTGTCTGTTCATATCCTTTGCCCATTTTTTAATTGGATTGTCTTTTTTTTGTTGAGGTGTTGATGTTTTCTATAAATTTTATAGACCCTTGTCAGATACGTTGTAGCCAAAATTTTTTTCCTACTTTGTACGTTCTCTGATAGTCAGGGACTTCAACCCATTAAATTAAAAGGGATACTATGAATCCATACTGATATAAATTAATAAAAAAGGGACAAAGAGTAACTTTACAGTGGAGAAGCCTGGTAACACCCCCTTAAGTGATCAAAACTAGCATCATCACAATGGGACAAACTTAAAACCTGTGCCACCTGATGAGATGCACTGAGAAGGACACAGCATCACTTCTGTGATGTTCCTGCCAAGATGCATAATCTGAATCTAATCACAAGGAAACATCCTCTTACAAAATAACTGGACTTTAATCTTCAAAGTGTCCAGGTCATAACAGCCAATGAAAAACTGAGGTGCTATTCCACAATAAGCAGACGAAGAGACTTGACAACTGAAGCAATATGTAATTCTGAACTGCTTCCTTTTGTTCCATGAGGACATTTGGCAGAACTGGGATGGAGTCCAAAGACTACACGGTAGTAAGGTGACAATGGCAATTTCCTGATTTTGATGGTCTAATTGTGGTTACGTAGGAGAATATTCCTGTTTTTGAAAATACATGCTAAAGTACTTGAGGGTGATAGGCCCATCAGGTTGGCAATTTACTCTCTAATGGTTCAGGAAGAAGGGTCTTTGTTCTATATTTGTAATTTTTCCATATGTTTGACAATGTTTCAAAATAAAAATGTTTTTTAAAGTGTTACATTTAAAATAACTTCCTCGTCACTTTTATCAGTTATATGACTCAAAAAATGGCTGCAGTAATGATGAAAACACTGTTGAAGATGGATGTAAAGAGTCTGAACAAAATTATTTCTTGAAATGTTAGGGGAGAAATTAATGTTATTTTATGTAAGGTGATTGTAAGTGTGTATTATAAACTACATTAAAACATGTACTATTAATATCACTTTACTAGAATAACTATTAATCAGTGAGTGAATGTATTTTTCAAAGGTTGTATTAAAATAAATGGAGCCTTGTTCTGGTTAAAAGCATGCTGGCTAACCAAAAGGTCAGCAGTTCAAATCCACCAGCCGCTCCTTGGAAACCCTATGGGGCAGTTCAACTCTGTCCTATAGGGTCGTTATGAATCAGAATAGACTCGGTGGCAATGGGTATTAAAATATTTAAGGTTTTTTTTAAAAAAAAGCTTGGCCGGGGGGAAAAGATTTGCAAAACCTGCTGCAATCCAAAATTAAGGCGACGTTTAGCAGCAAGAAGTATTCCAATGTCTCATAACCAGTTCTCATAGCAATGTTGTGTACGCCGTATTTTAAGGAAGTGTCAAACAGAGAGGTCAAAACATAACAAAAAACTTATAGCTCACAAATAGAAGTTTCTAAGAGTCCTTCTAGCCCTTTCTTGACCTTGAAAGATGTGATTTACCAAAATTTGGTTTACATTTAACTTTTCAGGAACACATGACCTGAAAAGAAGTAAGTTATCAGGTAACACTGACATTGCCTGATGCCCTTTTCTTGTATCAATCCCTCTCTTGTATTAGTAATCAGAACTGGGTCCAAATGGCACAGAATCAAGCATTATGTATCATGCAAAATGCTATTTCCAGTCCAATAAAGTCTCATTTTTCTCCAGTAATAAAGAGGTGGACGTTCTTCTTGGACTGCAGCATCTGTGCTGCCCGCTCCACGCCAACCACGGCAGCTAGTCTCTGGGCATCGTACTTGGAGTAGAGAACAGTGCAGGTCCACGTGGCTTCCTCTCCTCTGTTGGTGGCTTTCAGCATGTTACAGATCTCACTGTAGAAGTGGGGATATGTTGGCAGTTCATAGAAAATCAGGTTCCTAATGCCTTTTATTGTATACCTGTTGGAATGGGAGAGAGGAAGATGATATATCCACTTGAGAAATGATTTTGTGGAGAAGCTCCCTAAGAGTTCTATGGGGGTCAAGTTTACTCTGGCTGCTTCATGCTAATGGAAGAAAACGGTCGCACAAATAACAGATAAGCCAAAGGATACTCTAAGGAGCCCTGGTGGTGCAACACTTCAGCACTCAGCTGCCAACCGAAAGGTTAGTGGTTTAAGCACACCCAGAGACTCCACAGGAGAAAGACCCGACGATTTGCTTCCTTAAGGATTACAGCCAAGAAAACCCTATGGGGCAGCTCTACTCTGTCCCATGCGGTTGCTATGAGCTGAAAATCAACTGGACAGCACCCAACAACAACAATCTAACTTGAGCCTGAAGGGCTGATTTTTGTGTCAACTTATTTGCTTCCCTAACGTTTGGTTGGCTTAAGATGATGAGATAAATTTGCATCTCCTGAGCTTACCGAGGGTGGGCTGAGGTGGGGCGGGGAAGAACGGTAGACATAAACTGTAAATGCATTCCTACTAGTCTTTTCTTGTCACTGCAGACATGTTAACTCCACAGCAGAAGTCCCAAGTTCATCCATTTACAAAATCCAGCCTGAGGACCCATCAAGCATTATGAGAAAGCAATTAGTTTTAACAGCTTCTGCATCTGCACCTCTTCCCTGCTGCACACTGCTGCACGTGGTGTGGAGAGGGTGCAGACCCTAGGGACTCACCGTATGGGTGGGGCTGAGGTCAAGTGCACCCTCTGGTACTCCACAGCAAAAGATTTTATACATCCACAAGGTTCTGACTTTTCCTGTTAGACTCTCTCATACGCTGCCAATGTTAGACTCCCTGGGGATTTTATTTTGTTCTCAGAGGATAAACTTTCCTTATCTTTTTTATCTCATGGCTCACCCTGATTTCTCTAGAGACCCTCTTTTCCTAAACTATAATAACTGCAATCCATTACTTGGTTCACCTTTCAACATCACTTCTCCATAAGAAGGAATTCTAATGGTTAATTAACTTGAACAAACTGTTCAACTACACTACTTAACAAAACAACCAACCAAAAAAAAAAAAAAAAAAAACACACATTAGGAGTTCTGCTTCTGCTTAGCACTTAGAAAATTAAAGAGACGATCATTCCCATGTTAACAACAAGAAAAAACCAGTTAACCTACAAAAGCTGTCTTTTTCTTGAGCCCAAAGAGCTGACGTCATGAGGCAAATCAGTGAACTGAACTCAGTGGGGTGCTGGTGTATGCCTAATAACCTGTTCTCAGTGGGGAAGAGGGGCTGCTGACTTGAAGCATCTGCCAATTTCTGTGGTGTAAATACTCCTACTGTGGCCAATGTCAAGCTACCAATGTGGTGCTACTGAGCCGTAGTGTTGCAAAGAGACACGCAACCCCATTTTGTGAGCCAATGTGAGCCAGCTTCAGTCTACTGCTGACTGAATTCCAGAGGGTGACAAGCCCCTTTGAAGCAAGACAGGACACAGAAACTACCTCACGTTTAGCAGAGCATGGAAGGAAGTGGGCAGCTCCCAAAAAAGTGGGTAGGAAAGAGAGAGCTACACGTTTAACAAATTCTTAAAGGGCAAGAGTGGCCAGCGTGACAGCTGAGATCCCTGGGAGCCCCAGACCATCTGTAGTTCACATTCACTCACAAGCTCTCTTCCACAGGCCTCCAGCAGGTGCTGTGAAGTCGCAGGAAAGACAGAAGATCTGAGAGAGTCTTCCTTGGTGGTGCAGAGGCATAAACCCTCCCTACCTCCCTATCCATCTCTAACATGAAGGAAAACCTGAAGCCACTGGGACAGGGACAGAAACGCCCCATTCCTCCCATTCCCAGGCAAGGGTAACTGCTAGTGGGAGGGGGTGAGCAGAAGCAAAAGCCATCTACCCCTAAGGGAGAGCAGTGAATCCCTCACCCTCCATGCCACGAGGCTTACACCCAGTCAAAAACAAGAGGAGTCTGCCCCTGGAAAACAAGCAAACAAAAAAACCAAACCTGCTGCAGTCGAGTCGATTCTGACTCATAGTGACCCTACAGGACAGGGCAGAACTGCCCCATACGGTTTCCAAGGAGCGCCTGGTGGATTCAAACTGCTGATCTTTTGGTTAGCAGCCATAGCTCTTAACCACTACGCCACCAGCCAAAGATCCCTCGCTGGTACGAGCAGAGATCTGCCAACACTGGGTGAGGGACAGGAAATGCTTTCCCACCAAGATCCCCACAGATACAAAGTAGAGTTTGGCTGCCATGGAGGGGTGAGGGGAAAAAACCCCGAAAAAGCCCCACCTCCCAAGCCCAGAAAGACCAGGCCTGCCTAAACTGGACCGAGAGGAGATGCCGCACACCCTCCGCAACCCTGGTCAGGAGTAACAGGCAAGAGCAGCCTGGTGCTGGGGGTCAGACAAGAGTGTAGAGAGAGACCCTCCTTTGAGGCACACGTGTACAGGGCGTTGAGAAGAAATCAGCAATGCTGGGGAAACCTGTCCAGCACCCCAGGCCACACGCTAAACCCACCGTCTGCTGGAGGAATCTGGAGTCTGTGGTGTATGGAAGGTTAACTACAGTGACAATGAAATGCAAACCCAGCTCAACACCTGACTCGATGGACTCAACCTCCACACGAGTGAGCTGACAGAAGAGGATGTGCACCCGTTACTGGGCGTACACATAATTTCCCTCAGCCTCTACTTCAGTCACGCATTCAAATGAATGTTATGAAAAACATAAACAAGCAAGAAAAAGACATTAAAACAATAAAGTACTCTTGACTACCAAGTCAGTGGCAACAATTTGACCTGTGAGGTTTTGCAAAAATGGGTCCTTCTGATACACTGTCAACAGAGCATGAATTATTATGTGTGTGTATTTTTTGGAAAAAGATACAGGGAAGATGGGACAAAAAAGTGGCAATGCATATCAAATTTCTGGTTGGGTGCAGCCTTTGAGCTAACAAGTTTTCCTCTCAAAATTTATCCCAAGGAAATAATTAGGCAACTATGCCATCAAAATATATGTATAAGGGTGTTCTCGGCTGTTATGGATTGAATTGTGTCCCCCCAAAATGTGCATCAACTTGGCTAGGCCATGATTCCCAGTACTGTGTGACTGTCCACCATTTTGTCATCTGATGTGATTTTCCTATGTGTTGTAAATCGTATCTCTATGATGTTAATGAGGTGGGATTAGAAGCAGTTATGTTAATGAGGCAGGACAATCTGCAAGATTAGGTTGTGTTTTAAGTCAACCTCTTTTGAAGTATAAAAGAGAGAAGCAGCAGAAAGACAGGGGGACCTCATACGACCAAGAAAGCAGTGCCAGGAGCAGAACATCCTTTGGACCCAGGGTCCCCGCACTGAGAAGCTCCTAGACCAAGGCAGAACTGATGACAAGGACCTTCCCCCAGAGCCGACAGAGAAAGAAAGCCTTCCCCTAGAGCTGGCACCCTGAATTTGGACTTCTAGCCTCCTGGACTGTGAGAGAATAAATTTCTCTTTGTTAAAGCCATCCACTTGTGGTATTTCCATTATAGCAGCACTAGCTAACTAAGACACTGGCATTACACTTACTCTTCACTTATCAACTCTCTCATTATCCGACATTCCAAATTTACAACAATAGTAAAAAATCTACTATCCGACTATTTTGTGCATTAACGACGTACATCTGGCAGTAATGAATGCAGAGGTGCAAGGCAAGAGTACTACTGGCTGTGATGGTTAAGGCTGTGTGTCAACTTGGCTGGGCCGTGATTCTCAGTGGTTTGGCAGTTACGTAATGCTTCCATAATTTATACATAATGTCAATTTTCACCTGATGACCTGGTCTTTGGAACCTAACCATGTCGCTAACTGAGGAGTGGGTATACTGTATGTAGTACCAGAAAATAAAAAGAAATCTATATGCCCATTAAAAGGAAATTGGGTCAATTATATAGCCATACAATGTAACACTATGTAACTATTAAAAAGGATGTGATTCTCAGTGGTGAAGTTACCTCCGAGGTTCACTGTTCAGCCTGGGAGTGGACAGGCCCGTAAAACCAAATGAGACTAACGAGGTACAGGAGTCCAGTGACAAGGGCCAGAAGGCAGAAGGGGACAAGGAAGCTGATGATAGGGAACCCAAGGTTGAGTAAGGATATTGTTGATGTGTTGTGAGATTGTTAACCATTGTCATAGGGCAACATTTGTAGTAACTGTTAAATGAGAAACTATTTTGTTCTGTAAACCTTCATCTTAAGTGAGAATAACAGCACAATTGGAAGAGCCTAGTCAATGTCACTGAACTGTGTATGCAGAAATTTCTGAAATGGTGTATCTTTGGCTGTGTGTATTTTCACCAAAAAAAAAACAAAACAGGTTGAGAAGTTAAGAGGGTTAATATGTTGTGAGGTTGTTAACCAATGTCATAAAACAACATGTGTACTACTGTTTTGTGAGAAACTAATTGTTCTGTAAGCCTTCACCTGAAGTACAATAAAATAGTAAAAAAAAAAAAAAAAAAAAAACCGATGTGATTTACACCCACAGATTACTTCAGATTACTTATTAATTATGAGAAAAAGTACCTTTATAGCAGAGAGATCTAACAGAGCCACCGTGACCAAGTGATTAAATTTACATCACCATAACTGGGACCAACTGGCATTAGCTGCCTCTTGATGAGATACAGTGAGAAGTGCACAATATCCTCTGTGTAGGAGTCTTACCCCCAAAAACATAATCTAAATCGGTGGTTCCCAAACTGCTGCACACTGGAATCACTCCCCTCCCCTTTTTAAATATCTATGCTTGGCCCCCATCCCCAGACATTCTGATTTAATTGGTATGGGAGTGCAACCTGGGCATCTGGATGTTTTCAAGCTCCCCAAAGGGATTCTAATGTGCAGCAAAATTTGGGAACCACTGATCTAAATAATAAGGGAACCATGAGACAAATTCAGGCTGTAGGACATCCTACGGGAAACTAGGTTTGGACTGTTCAAAAAATGTCAGTATCATAAAAAAGCAACAAGGCAAAAGGATTATTCTTATCAGGGTTTCTCAATCTCAGCACCACTGATATTCTGACTATTTGATATTTGATACTGATATCTGTGATACAAAAAAAAAAGAAACAAAAAACCAAACCCATTGCCGTCGAGTCAATTCCAACTCATAGTGACCCTATAGAACAGAGCAGAACTGCCCCATAGGGTTTCCATGGAGCACCTGGTGGATTCGAACTGCCGACCTTTTGGTTAGCAGCCATAGCTTTTAACCACCATGCCACCAGGGTTTCCAGATCTGTGATAGAAGCATACGTATTAAATTAAAAATACATTTTGGGCCAGATAATCCTTTATTGTGGGGAGCTGTCCTGTGTACTATGGGGTTTTGGGTGGCATCCCTGGCCTCAACCCACTAGAAACCTCCTCTCCAGTTGTGACACAGAAATGTCCAGGTATTATTGCCAAATGTCCTTTGGGGAGCAAAACTGCCCCTGGTCGAGTCCTCCTAAGACTGACTAAGGAAACAAAAGAAATATGTTAAACAAATGCAATGTACAATCCATAACTGAATCCTGGATTAGAGGGGAAAACAGCTGCAATGGTCATTTTGGCAACTAGGTCATTGACTAATTGGGACAATCTGAATATGAACCATGTGTTGGTGTTGGTGTGTGCCACTGAGTCGGTTCTGACTCACTGCAGCCCCATGTGACAGAGCAGAGCTGCCCCAGAGGGTTTTCCAGGCTGTAATCTTCACAGGAGCAGATTGCCAGGTCTTTCTCCCATGGAGCTGCTCGGTAGGTTTGAACCACCAACCTTTTGGTTAGCAGTCAAGCACTTAATCCTTGTGCTACTAGGGCTCCTTATGAACCATGTATTAGATATTACTGAAGTAATGTCAAGTGGCGTGGTAACGGTACTAAAGAGTTAGGGAAAAGAATGTTTTTAGGAGGTACGTGCTGAAATTCTTAGGGGTTGAATGTCAAAAAGTCTGCAACTAACTTTCAAATGATGCAGAAAGGAAAAAAAAGAGGTGTGAGGTAGAGAGAGAGAAGGAAAAAGAAAGAGACGATACGGGTGTGTGCAAATGTAGCAAAATGCTATTCTAAGTGAAAGAAATTGTAGATGTTCACTATTACAGTCTTATGACTTTCTTTTGGTATGAAATCTTTCTAAATAAAAATTTGGGAAGGATGTGACAGAAGTATACACATCAAATTAAAAATACATCTGTATTATACAAACATATATACCAAAATATTAACATTTGAATTTTTTTCCAATGAGCAAATAAAACATTTTAAGATCAAGGGAAAAAATTTCAGTATGTAACAGTGTGATCCAAATTTTGGTATTTTAGGAAAACACCTGTAAATTTGTGTGGGTGCATGTGTATGTGTGTGCATATATTTTTCATATAAGAAAGACTAGAAAGAAACTCACCAAAATAAGTATTTGTACCAGGGCAGTGGTATTATAGGTTACTCTTTTCTTTTTGTACCTGGATTTCCAAATTCTCTACAATAATTGTATAATACTTTTATAATCAGGAAAAACAAAATAAAAAAACAATTCGTGTTAATATTTAAAAAATACAAAAATCTCTCAGTCCCAATTTGCCCACGATAGAGAGGACAAATTTCCTGGAAACAGAAAAGGTGACCAGGGTCCCTCCAGAGGAGGCAGTTGGTGCCAGTTCTCCATATTTTGAGCACTCCTTCCCCCGGCACCCTTCTCCTGCATTCCTCCTCGTATATGTTTCCCTTCTTCAGTAACCTATATAAATGTGGCCCATAACCCCTATCAACATGGCCTGTGACCCCTATAATAATAAATTCAGACCCTCACAGGGCCTAAAACGAAGGACATTTCAGACGTCTATTTTGCCTGCCAACTGGATAAATGTGGCAACCACAAGTGAAGTGAAAGGCTGACTTCTCAGTATGGTCTATAATGACCAAGTCTACTACTTGTAGAACTAAGATTCTCAGATAGGGGCAGGAGGTACTCAGAACCACTGAGGCAGCCTTTCTAAACTTCATAAATCCCCCCTCCAGACACAGAACCACCATATGACCCAGCATTTCCACTCCTAAGTACATACCCACGAGACCTGAAAGCAGCAAAGCAGTGTACACCAACAGTTACTGCAGCACTATTCACAATAGCAAAGGTGGAAACAACCTAGTGTCCATCAACAGATGAATGGATAAACAAAACGTGGTACATTCATACAGTGGAATCCTACTCAGCCATAAGAACATGCTACAACATGGATAACCTTGGAAACCTTATGCTCAGTGAAAGGTCAATCGCAAAAGGGCAAGTATCGTATGATCTCACTTACATGAACTAACAACAACAGGCAAATGTATAGAGACCGGAGTTTAGCAGTGGTTACCAGGGGTGGGAGGGAGGGGAAGAGGGGGAGTTTTTGTTTAGTGAGTGTTTGTTTACGGTGATGGGAAACTGGCCACGATTATGGGAGTGGTTGAACGGCATGATTAACTGATGTCACTAAACTGTACCCCTGAAAAATGCTGAATTGGCAAATGCTGTGTTACATATATTTTTACAACAATTAAAAAAAATCCCTGTCCAGAGTCTCTGACTTTCCGCTGTGGAAGCTGCTGAATGACAGGGATGAACCAGAACAGAGCCAGGAAGCATCCTCTGGAGGGAAATCATCATCAAACGCCCATCCAACTCTAAGATTCTACTGTTTTCATCTCCCCCAAAGAAAACAAATTTCAGGTTGAAAACTTTTGCTAGCTCTTAAGTTTAAGTCCTAATCTTTCTAACACTGCCTACTGCCATAGAGAATATAAAAAACAGAATTTCAGAGCTGGGGTACTATGGTTTAAAATATATCTTCTTTCCCCAAGGTCAAATTAGAAACCAAATCACAAAGGCATTGCAGACCAAAACACCTATCCTCACCTTGGTGATCTCTCAAGCAAACAATTGTATAGTCGGAAACCCTGAGATAATGAGCTGCTGCAGAACTCTGAAGCACATTATTTCCACTCATCTTCAACACATGGAACACCCGTTAACCTGGTCTAGGGCATAAAGCACATGGCACATGCTGAGATTTGTCTTTATACTGACTTTGGGGACAAATCGGTTTGGTAAAAATAAATGAACAGCATAAGACAGAGCACTGTTCCGCCTGCTTAAGAGAAAGGGCCCCTCTGATGCCACGCCTTTCCCCGAAAAGCTGCCGAGATATCTGAGAGTAGTCCTCATCCCAGCTTAATTCACACCTGCTATGGGCAATCACACTGGGAAGTTTCTCAATCCATCCACTTCACTTAAAAGGCTTGCTTTCATTTGTCAAACGGATAGAAAATTAAGCGCTCTTAAGACCTGGTGAGTGTAACTCCTCCAAAGTGCCACTTTTGGAAAGCTGAATGAAAACAAGTTACTGGAACAACGCAAATAACGGTGCCAACCAGCAGGCATTCATTAATACTCTTTGGCCAAGCAGCCTTGTCTGGGTAGCCAAGAATGGAGCTTGGTGAAATAGACGAGTATTGTCAATTCTCAACTCTCCATTCACAGATAACTAGTCAGCAGCGTGCCTTAGAGGCCACGCCATGCCAGCTATGCGGTGCCCTCCCCATGGTAAGGAGAACATGTCTGGAGAACACCATTCTGGTCTCAGCAGTGCAATGCCAAGGCGCGTCATCCCAAATGCCCCAACACCTGGGAGATTTCCAGCTTCTCTTTTTGGGGTTCTCTGAGAAAATGCTCCCCCTTATTAGTAGTATATATGATTGGGAGTTAATAAAACAGTGAAGTCAGAATTTAAATTCACTGGCTATTACTGAGAAATAGGGAAGAAGAAGTGACAGGATACAATACTCATCTCTCTATAGGCAAGGGCTTAAAAAAGGTTTTTCCATTTGGCAGAAGAGAAACATTTAGCAAAACAATAAAATATTTGTGATCCTGGGCCACGAAAGGCTGCAACTAACTCAAACAGCAAAAGAAGGCTCAAAATTACTAACACTCCAACTAAAATTAAGAAAATAAATAAATAAATAAAATGACCGATTTGATTTATCTTGTCAAAGTCACACAGTGGTGAAGCTAAGCAAACACTGAAACCCACAAATATTCAACTTTAACCCTTCACTTTCTGCCTCATGCAAATGTCAAAGGGCCCCTCAATCCTGGTCCTCCTTGTGGAGGAAATAAACATGCATGCACCTCCTCAGGACACACTGCAGCTTTCTGAACGCAGACACTGTGCCCAGCGGCCATCTTCCCAGACTGCACAGCCCATGATATCTTTCTGTGTTTGTGTGACAGGCCCTCCGCTTTCTGTATTCATCAAGTTGTCCCTCTCCAGAGATGTTCAAGTCAGTAATGTCTTTCTGTAACGTGAGGTATGCAACCACAGCTACACGAAGAGTCCCAAGTACAGACCGAGATCTATACATAGGGTATACCGTACTCACTCTTGTTGCCACATTCTTTCCTAACAACACCCATTTTGGGAGGAAACCAACCAATGAACCTACCAACCAAGAAGAGTCCATCCAGACCCAAAATCCTTAGGCTTCTCTGCACGAGTAGTAGACCAAAAAACCAAAAACCCATTGCTGTCAAGTTGATTCCGACTCATAGCAACCCTACAGGACAGAGCAGAACTGCCTCATAGGGTTTCCACGGAGCAGCTGGTGGATTTGAACTGCCAGCCTTTTGGTTAGCAGCTGCAGCTCTTAACCACTACACCACCAGGTAGAGGGAGGACCTTATACCACCCTAAAGCCTACCTGCTGAGAAGCAGGCCATGATTCGCATTTTCCCTCCAGAGAGGATGCTCTAAACTTGGCACCACTTTACCTTTTGTAGAAATGGAAACGCTCTGTGAGGAGCAGAAATTGCTTCTCTCCTTGAAGGAAGAATTGTCTGGCCCTGGAGACACCAGATTTCTTAGTGTACTCGCAGATGTGGGTGAAGTTCAGTTCTTCCTTCTTGAAGTAATTTCGAAGACGCACAAAGTCAAAGTAGGAGGGTACATAGATGAGCGTGTGAGACATGACTGCGTCACGATACTGAGGCAAAATCTTGTTCACAAAAAAGTTAAACCTGATTTTGAAAGGAAAATGGCAAAGTCAGTGGTCTAGAGTTAAGCTGACAGTGTTGCCAAGAACCATGCAATCCTGGAAAAGTCAGTCTCCCTCTACATCACTAAAGAAAACAATATGATTTACCTCATCTCAAAGAGAACTTAAGGATAAACCTTGATGAGCACGTTAAAAAATGGATGCTACCGTTATTCATTGTAAAAATAGATATAATACCATCATACCCCAGAAAATTAGTCTAGAAGTATATGACCACACCATTCAGTCAGTCAGTCAACAAATAATGATTGAACACCTACCATATACTAAGCACCATTCTGCTACCATGGGGCCTCCTAACTATGCACAATAAAGACAAAGGGGAAAAATATATACAGAATTAGAGAAATAGGCCTGGCCCTTGAAAGGCTTACAGTTGAGTTGCTGACACAGGACACTTTGTAGCATTGAATAATGTAATATAATCTAAAAATGCCACAGGCTTCAGGGAAGGAGCCCTGATTTACGGTACCGACCCTGCCACTAACTAGCTATGAGACTTAGGCCAAGTCACCATTTCTTTCTGTCAAATGGTATGATCGGTTCAATTAGCTCATCTAATTTGGTAAATGATCATCAATAAAACTAATATGGGATCCAATACTAAATTTGTCTGCCAAAGTCAAATGCCTCTCCTTGGCCGCCAAGTACCTGATGGAGCTGGGGAGGGGTTGGTTACCTGGCATCAATCACTGAAGCTACATTTTCTGCTTCCATCCTCTGGAAGACATGTGGGAGCTGCACCAGGACATGGCTGATGGAGCCTGTCATTGGGACATTCCTCACAGCCACCTGTCAGGAGTCAACGAGAGCATGAGAGGAGCCATCCCCAGCAATAAACAATGCTTCATGAAGAGTCCAGAGGAAACGAGGAGAGAACCTACCTGGCCTTGCAAATTGATGCAGTGCTTGTTGAACAATGAGTTGATCTGGGCATCCTGCAGCGCCCCAAACAGCAATGTCTGGCGATAGTACTTGGACCAATTGTTGAGGCTCCACATCCGCACTCGAGAAAAGTCCACCCCATGTGAGTCCAAGGGCAGTAGGTTCATGTGACTCATCAAGTGCTTTGAGCAGAAATAACAATACCATTAACACTTATTGAGTATTTATGTGCCAAGCACAGCTTACCATTTTACAAGTCTATCATCGTACTTCACTCCATGCGGCATGTCCTATCATCTCTCAAATTACAAGAAAACTGAGCCTCAGACAGTTGAGTAACCCAGGGGCAAGTAGTCTCTGCCTATGGTCAGCTGAATACCTCCAACAAGAACACCCCCAACAAATACTGGCTGCCTACTGGACCTTAAAAAAAAGTATCAGAACAGTAACTATAGGAGTATTCCTTTAAAAGAAACTTCTGAAATGCCACATCATCTCTCTATGGGTCCCTCAGTTCCAAACTTGGACATGAAGGGAAATGATATGGAAAACAGAGTTTTCATCCTTCAATGAGCTGGTTCTCAAAATATTAGGAGTATTCTCAGCACCATTAAACCTGCTGTTGCCCCACATTAAGCAATATGACTCTACCGTCAACATGCTTTTTCCATTTTAGTTATATTTTCACCCTGTAAAAAATACTAAAAGGTAATGAGTTCTACATATTTATTACCTACTTTATAAATAAGTATCCCCTTTATTGGCCCCACACTAGCAAGTTTTAAGTCCTGGGTTGTGGGAGAGGTGAGTTTTCATATGCCTTTCAAAAGAAACCCTGTTGTTCTGTAATAAGGATTGTTCCAAAGCATGGTTTTTCAGTCCTAATACTGGCAACACTGCAGAGTATGTGGCTAGGGAGACAAAAGTACAGCACAGTTACAGAAGGGTGATAAAGCCATCCTCTAGGTCTCTGCAAAACAACAGCACACACTAAGAGATCTCTTAAGAGACCTTAATGTTCTCCTCTCTTCACTGAAGACCAAACAAAGGAGAATGGGCATAAACCGTATGAGGAATTACATTAGGTAACGACATTTCTAGTGAGGGGATTTTAAACTAAGTAACCAATCACCCAACTACGCTAACATGGACTAAGAGCACAAAGAGATCTTTAAGGGGAAGAAATCGTTTCTGGAGATTTGAAAATATTGCCTAGATTTTCATCTCTCTGTTTAGTTTAATTATTGACCAATCTGTGGGTAGAAGAAGGTACCAAAGACTTTTTTCAAATTGGAGACAGAAACTATCTGTTTCCAAACTGAGTTTTAATCTGGACTTAAATAAGCCCCTAAAACTTAAACCACCGAGCTTCTTGTCACCCTAACTGTGAAACTTGTCCCCTAAATGTGAATGACCAGCGTTACCAGGACATGCTCCCAGTTCTGCATCAGGTAAATGTCAGCTTGATCAATGATGAGAAGCTCAATAGAAGACAAAAAGTCAAAATCTCTCTTCTTCTCTCCTTCTCCACCAATGATAGTCCTCAAGCCCAGAGGGGAGGCAATGAGGATGTCTGAGGAATAGAAGGGGGCGTAGAGCCGGATGCTTCTCTGAAGTATTGCAACTCCTGCACAAAACAGCCAAGCACATATAGGTTCATTAGTCACTACCAGGACATTACCTTCCACTCTCCCAAAGCAACCCCTTCTCTCCTGTATTTTCCACATCTCCATTTTCCTCTCAGACTCCCCAGACTGACCCCACCCAGCTCCCCTCCCTTCCCCCTCCTCCAAGATCCCCTTCCAGCATCTGCCTATGTGCTACCAGCTACAGATGTGCTGAGACATTTGTTATAAATGTGCAGGTGCCTTTCTTACATGCTCAAATTGCTACAATACAGTAATAATAATCATCACCACCCCTCCCTTGCATCTATGGACCCTTCTGGCTCCCACTCTACCTTTTCTTCACTGTCAAACGTATCCAGAGAATTGTCTCTACTTTGCAATATCCCACCACTTCTCAATCCACTGCAATCTGGCTTCTGGTTCTCAGGACGCCACTGAAATTGCTCTTGCTAAGGTGACCAACAGCTCTTGGTTACCAACTCAGTGGGTACTCTGTGGTGCTCCTCACCGCGACTGCACAGCGGCTGGCTGAACACCTCTCCTTGAATGTTCTTGTCCTCACTGGTCGTTTCTAAGACTCCAACGCCCACTCCTGTGTCTATCACTGACTGGACTGTATCTATCTTTCCAGATCCAAATTCCTCTTCTTCCACAAATTCCTGGATTCATCCTCCAGTTCTACTGTTTACATGAAGCTTTTGTAAATTTACTCACTAGCCATGGCTCTAACGTGACTGAGATGCACATTTATATCCCGTTCCACATCTCTTCCCTGTGCTCCAGACTCGGTATCAGCTGCTTCCTGGATGACTGCGCAAGTCCAAACCACACAGCGGTCCTGCCCCTCTTCCCCGTGCACCCTGCCCCCAGCCATGCTGAGGCATGTGCAATTCTTAGGTCGAGCTGGGTTTTTCCACCCTGATACCTGTGAACATGTCGCTTCCTGTCAGCAACACTGTCCTCCTCTCCCACCACTGCCTCTGCAGCTGGACAAATCCGACTCAGTTTTCACCTTAGTACATATGTCACCTCCACCAGAAAGCCTTCCCTAACCATCCTGTGCCCACTTGGGGTAAGACAGTTTGCTTTCCATGCTCCCGGAATACCTGCTGCACACTCTGATCATAACACTTAGCATCCTGGACTGTCTCCCCAGCCAGCTAGAATTCACTGACAACAGGAACTGTAACATTTATTCTATACCTCCAGCTTCTTATCAAGGCCTAGAACACAGTAAGTGCCCAATAAATGTTTGTTGAATGAGTATATGTGACTAATGAGCATTTTACCAAGAACTTACTGTCGCGGTACCACCAACCAAGTAAATGGGAGTTGAGTGAGAGACAAGCGAAAGCGTGAAGCGCTGGGTGGGAGTCGGTAAGCCATGAAGGGAGATGGTTCGTGGTTAGGCTCTCCGCATGGCAGGCAGGAGGGAAGTCTGCCAGGATGCACAGACACTCAGTCTATGCAGCCTCCCCAGACTGACCCCACCCAGTCCCCTCCCAGCATCTGACAATGTGCTACCACCTAGGGATGTGCTGAGACATTTCTGTTACAAAAGTGCAGGTGCCTTTTTGACACAATCTTAGAGACTCTCTCCTCTGGCAGACGAGATACTACAAATACACACTGATTCCACTAAGGAGGCTGAGTCAGTGACCTCTGAGATAACTGCTCATTACAGCTGTGTGAGCCTTACACCTGGCGTCTTAATAAGGGAGAATTACCTATCCTGAAGTGGTCATCGATGTTGCCGACAAATACAGCTTCATAATCCTCAGGCCTCTTCAGGTTGGGTGGTCTCTCCTCGGGATCTGATCCATACTCTCCTTTAAACCTCTTTTTGTTGCTCACAATTATTTTCTTCTTGCTGTCGCCCTCTAGGAGACTGATGAAGAGCTGTACCACCCGTAAGGCAGCCTCCCGGAAAGGCAACACTATCAGCACCTGTGGAGGGAGCGATGCGCAGCCTTGGTAGGGGCAAGGAAAGGAGCCTCCGCCATGTGAGCCTGCTTGAGGAGACAGAGTGAAGAAGGCCTGTGTATAACAGCAGTCCATCTTTCCTGACGCGTAAGCTGCCCTGGGCCAGGGCGACATCTGCATCACCTCTCTCTCTGCACAGGGCCTGGCTGAGCATGAGAAGCTGAGCCCCTTTCACGTGCGCAGCAGCACGTCTTGTGGACTTCAGTCCCATGGCTCCATGAGGCATGTCTCAAGCAGAATGTGAGAACTACCTTTTAGGATAAGCCAATGTTTTTAACAGATGTGTCCACTAGCAAAAATTCAAGGTCATAAATGCATAAGCTCCTTGAGGGCAAGGAACGTGACTCCTTTCCTTCTCCCACAGAACTGCGCACAGTGATTTTACCCATAAGATCCACTGAAAAAATATATGCTGAATAAATAGATGAATAAATAAATGAATTAAAAAAGTAGACAAGAAATAAAGTCAGTAAATAAGGAAAACAACTAATGCATCACTACTTTTCTAGTACATTCCTAGTACATTTTTCAGAAATGATAAAGCATTTCTGAAATAAGACCACAATTCAATTGGAAAAATAGGACTCAGTCTCCCAAGCATTTCCAAAAATACTTAAAGTTACAACTGTAGAGGACAAAAACAGGAAATGCTTGCTAAATCGTTGATTTCCAAACACTCTTTTATAAACAACATAATCAATGGAAACAATTCCAGGCAAATTATGCAATTCAACAAATTGTAAGTATGCTTCACGGTTAAGCCTCCTATTCGTCTATGCAGTTCTAAACGGAAACAGATAACTTTGTAATTCTGTTTTCAACACTATGAGGTGGCTGTCCAGAAGAGCAATCAGCACAGCCAAAGGAATGTAGTGATTCAGTTTGGTACACGCAGGAATGGTGGGCCAGAATTCAAGAGGGCCAAGTTATTGTCTCAGCTGTGACACTAAGTGTCTGGGCTTCAGCTTCCCCAGTTACCAAACAAGGAGATTGGACTAGAAAATCTCTAAAGAACGATTTCAGTATTAAAATCCTAGAATCATACTGAGCTCAATGAAGAAATATCTAAAAAGATAAGTCTTCTTCAAAATGGAAAGATGTAGACTATGGGGCGGAAAGGGGGTGACATCATGAAGAGTGCAGGCAGAATGAAAAGACACCCCCTATCAAAGTCCCATGTCCACTGACACCGAGGCTTATGAGCAACAATGAACATAAACATCCCTTTGAACAGCAGTAAGTACACACTGGAAAGCAGGGCTTTTTGTTTTCAGAGGTTTACACATTTACATGGCTAGTTCCATCTCTGCTACTCTTTCCCTAATTCCCTTTAGCAAGGCCCTCTACCAATCTGGGTCTCTGGCCACAGCTGTAACAGAATGAATAAAAGCTTTATTAAAGAGGAGATTTATAACGGACTGTTGTTTATGTATGTTCAGGATTTATCTTTAAGGAAAGTATCATGAAGATACCTTCTTTCCACAAATTTGCAGTTAGATACATTGTCAGAACCAGTCCACGGAGCTGAAACCACCTGGCCCATCTAATGTGCCCACTCACAGGCTCATCCGTGTTTCCAGTCACTCGTTAAAACACCTAAGTATCTACGTACCAGGCACCTACACGCAATGTCTTACAGTTTCCTTCTTGAGGGCAAGGCTCTCCTGCTGCCACTTACCTTGGGCCTTGTAAGCCCTTGGTCCCTGAAGTCATCATCATCACCCACCCCAAGTTTCTGGCTTCGGCGTCTGCTATTGTTGCCAAGTACCCGGGCATTGGCTTTGAGGACGTGATTGAGAGCATGTAGGCAATACACATGGCGGATCTCTTCACCGTTCTTCAGGGCAGTCCTTTCTGAGTAGAACAGGTCCCGGTAAGAATTCATAATTAAGAAGAGCTCTTTCTGAAGTGGGGTGAAGGGGCTACTTGATTTTTGGGGGCCAGATAGGAATTGGCTGTTGGTCTTGGTCCAGGTGGATTCCAGAGGCTTCTGGAGATGAAGTGATTTTAAGTCAATGTCCTTTGATGGCTTAAATGTTTCCAACTTCTGAAACTTGGAAGAAAAAACAAGCTGGCCCAGGGTGGGCCACTAGGGGAGAGAGAGATCAAGAGCTAAATTACAGATGATAATAATACTTTCCATTCACATAATACTTTATAATTTACCAAGAACTTTCATGATATATAAATCATCTTACTTAATCCTCACAATAATCCTGCAAAGTAGATTCTGCAATGCTTATGTGACAGCTTAGGAAACTGAGGTTCAGAGAGGTTATATGATCCAAAGTTTACACAGGAGGGAACAGAGCTGAGGGCTAGAGCCCGAGGTTTCTGACTTCAAATATGAATTCTTTTCATTGTATCAGTGTTTCCCAAACTTTTATGGAATATGTTCTGGGAAGAGTCAAAATTCATTCTAGGAAAAAAAGAGCTTCATGGTTAAACAACTTTGGTAAGCGCCACAAAACCTAATCTCCCTCAGGAAGATTTGCAACCTACATTAGCATACTAAAGGTTCTGAGAAGTCCTATGACAAAATTCTGTTTCATTCTGCTTCATCGAGAGTTTTCCAAATTTACCTGGGCATGGAGTCATTTTTTTGTTTTCTTTTTTCTGAGACACAACTATTAGAATCCTAAGGAATATTTCTTTTGTGGGATACTAGTTTGAGAATTTTTGTATTGTAGCAAAATTGCTGATCTTAAAAAAAGGATGACCTCATCAACAAAAAGGAATGAGCTACTGATACACACGCGTTGGATGACTCTCCAGGGAATTATGATGAGTGACAAAAGCCAATTTCAAAAGGTTACATGCTGTATGATTTCATTTATATTACACTTTCAAAGTGACAAAATCACAGAAATGGAGAAGAGATAGTGGCTGCCGGGGGACAGGAACAGGGGGTAGAAGGGAAGGAGAAGTGGCTGTAGTTATTGAACAGCAACAGGAGGGATTCCTTTTTTATTAACTGTGCTTTAGGTGAAGTCAGTTTCTCATGCACAAATTCATACACACATTGTTACACAATCCTAGTTGCTACCCCCAGAATGTGACCACACACTCCTCCCCTCCACCCTGGATTTCCAGTGTCCATTCAACACAAGAGGGATTCTTATGGTGCAAGAAGTGTTTTCTTGACTGTGGTGGCAGATCCAGGAACCTACACATATGATGAAATTGTATGGACCTAAATACACGCACAGAGAGACAGACACAATCAAGTAGGAGTAAAACTGGGGAAATCCGAGTACGACAGGGAGATTGTATCAATGACCACTTCTGGCTGGGTCACTGTACAAAAATGTTTGGTGAGATGTTACTAAGGAAAACTGGGTAAAGGGTACTAGGGATGTCTCCGTACTGTTTCTTATAACTGCACGTGAATCTGTACTTATTATCTCAATAAAAACTGCAATTAAAAAAGGGATGACCAACTCTCATGAACAGTATCAGAATCAGTGGTAGGAAAATACAAAGCAGCAAAAACTGTCCCTTATCTGAAGAATTTAGTTGTGAACCTATCTCAGATATTTTAAACAAATGAACAACAGTAGTAGCTACCGTTTCCCTGAACACTTACTATGTATCAGTCAGTAAACTAAATTATTTTATTTTGAGGTAGGCATTACTGTCCCCTTTAATAGATGAGGACAGAGAAGATCTGAGAGGTCAATGAACTTGTCTTAGGTCATGTGAAAGCCCACTGCGGTTAAGGTCTAAACCCTGGTGTACCTGTCTCCAAGGCCACTTGTACCCAACCCCGTTACTTGGCTCCACCACTCCAGCTTCCCAGTGCCGTTTTCAGCTGCACCTGTGCCCCGCTAGGCTCTCCCAGCCTTCCCAGGTCCTGCCCTGCTGTCAAGCCATCTACCACTGGTGAATGTCACATATTTGGGGAGACCACTAAAATCCAAGACCACTGTTTTACTTAGAGTTCTTCTCCACTTGTGACTGGGATAACAAAGCAGTACTTACTTTCAGTTGGTGGGTAGTTTTGGGATTTGTTCCAACAGCCTGAACGTCTTTGTCTTTCAGTTCTTTGTTCACATGTTGTAGAAATGGATCTAATGCAGAAATAAAGAACATTAGAACACTGAAAGCAAATGGCAGGGAATTTTTGTTCTTCCCCAGTAAATGACCTGCTGTTCTTCATGATGTTGACTCATCCTTTTTCCCATCTACCTTCCCCATGGCTATCCCAGTCCAGGTAGGAGCCCTAGTGGTGCAGTGGTTAAGCGCTTGGCTGCTAACCGAAACGTCAGTGTTTTGAACCCACCAGCCACTCCGCAGGAGAAAGATGTGGCAGTCTGCTTCCATAATGATTACAGTCAAGAAAACCCTGTGGGGCAGTTCTACTCTGTCCTGTAGGGTCACTTAAGAGTTGGAATCAACTAGATGGCAATGGGTTTGGTTTTTGGTTTTTATTCCAGAACAGAGCATAAAATCTTCTGACAGGTTCATCTTCCTAAAGCATTTCTCTAATCATATTACTTCCCAGCTCAAAAATCTTTGAAGAAAATCTAAACTGCTCAGCCTAAACTTCAGGGCACTACAATGATACACTTCCAGCCTACTTTTACAGTGTAATTCCTGAACTATAACCAAAAACCAAACCCAAGTGAAGAATGGCACTGGGATCAATGAAGGCAGTGCGGACACGGAGCAAGACCAACCTGACTTGCTCACTTGGGCACAGGCTGAGAAAGTGGACATAACGGAGCAGAGGCCTACCTTAGCCTGCCAGAAGCAGGCCTTGTCCAAGTGACTGTCTTTTGGGCATAGGCACGGCCAAGAGGCTGCTGGAGACAGGGTAAAGGTTTTTGGCTTTTGAGGTGCTCCCTGGTAATAAGAACCATTTAGATTAACTACTCCTGGGTTACACAAAAATGAAGGGTAGACAGAAAAATGGGAAGTATTCATCCAACTACTTCCTCCCTTGGGGAGAAAAGCAGAGGTCTTCTCCCTACCCCAATTATGGAACTGTGAGGCCTGAGGAGCTAGCCTTCCTGTCATTCTTTAGCTGTTTGTTCTAAACATACCTCACAACAGATCTTCGAGAAGCCTCTTCTCCCAGCCCTAGATACAGCTGCTGAACTACCACCTTTTAGTGCTGCTCATTTTAATACCAGGAGACTTAATTTGTATTAGCTTTAACTGGACTAAGCATCTGGCGAATTCGAACAACACATGCTGTGCTCTGACCTTGTGACACTTTCAAAGAACAGCTGCCTCCACTCTCCTCTTGGAGAAAATTGGTTTCCAGGCTGAACAGTGATTCGTGTTTTGCATCTGTGAACTCTTCAGGGGATGCTTGTTGTGACTTCCCGGGTGGCCCTTCCCTACCTTTTTCTTGGCAGTCAGTATATAGGGCCATATCTGCAATTTTGAGAAACATTTTGTAAAACGATTCACTCATAAATGTGAATATATTTCTGCTGACAGATAAAATGAAATTCCTTAGCCTATGCCAACACTGATATTCACTGGGTAGATGGCTGTTTTTGCTATCATTAATTTTTAAGAAAATTCAGGTGGTAGACATAAAGATTTCAAAATTAAGCCTGATCCTTTGACCTAGTTCCAATTCTAGGAACTTATTCTAGGATAATATCTGGACAAAGTACACTAAGATGTACACATAATGATGTTCAACGCAGCATTGATTACGACAAGAAATAGCTGAGGAAAACAAAATATCTATCAATGGGGTACTGTTATGGGGTACTGTTATGCTAAAAAAATGCATGTCAACTTGGCTAGTCTATGATTCCCAGTTTGTGTGACTGTCCACCATTTTGTCATCTGATGTGATTTTCCTATGTGTCATAAATCCTACCTCTATGATGTTAAGGAGGTGGCATTAGAGGCAGTTACGTTAATGAGGCAGAACTCAATCTACAAGATTGGACTGTGTTTTAAGCCAATCTCTTTTGAGATATAAAAGAGAGAAGCCAACAGAGAGACATGGGGACCTCATACCATCAAGATAGTGCCAGGAAAAAGAGCGTGTCCTTGGGACCCCGGGTCCCTGAGCTGAGAAGCTCCTAGACCAGGGGAAGATTGATGACAAAGACCTTCCTCCAGAGCCAATGGAGAGAGAAAGCCTTCCCCTGGAGCTGACACCCTGAATGTGGGCTTCTAGGCTACTAGACTGTGAAAGAGTAAATTTCTGTTTGTTAAAGCCATCCACTTGTGGTGTTTCTGTTATAGCAGCACTAGAGAATTAAGACAGAAGTTGGTATTGAGAGAGTAGGGTGCTGCTCTAACAGATACCTAAATGTGGAAGCAGTTTTGAAACGGTGAATGAGGCTGGAAGAGGAAAAGCCTAGATTGCCTTGAAGAGACTGTTGGTGGAATTATGGATATCAAAAACAATTCTGAAGAGGGCTCAGAAGGAAGTGAGGAGAGCTGTTACACTGGAGGTGGCACAGATGGCAAGAAGCAGCAGCAGAACCAGGAGACCAGCAAGTGACAGCACAGGAGCCAACCCACGGAGCAAGAGAGCTGAGTGCCTTTGCGCCGGAGGTTTCCTAGTGGAGCAGAGTGCCTCCGAGCACTTATTGGTGAAGCTAGGCTTGCCAACTCACGACCCATGCAGCAAGAGAGCTGAGTACCTTCTGGATGAAGTTTACTGGTGAAGTGAGGTGCCTCCAGGTACTTATCAGTAGAGCTAAAGAGCTTTGGAACACTTGCCCCAGCAGGGCAGATGCCAGCTGTGAAGCCTGAGAAGCCGAGGCCAAGGAACCAGGAAGCAGAAGCTGAAAAGACAAGGAACACAGGAAGCAGAGTGCCTCAGTCTCAAAGGGTAGAGCTACTACCTCTGGGGCCTCAAAGAGTGGAGTTGCCACTCAGATGGACTAGCAGAATGGGGCCACCCAAAGCTGAGGGAGCAAAGTTGCTGTCCCAGTGGGCCCAGTGTCCCACTGGGAAGGCAGAGCTGACACCCAGGGTCGAGGGGCCTCCTCTCAGAATCTGGAGAGTGTGGCCAATACCTAGAGTGGAGGGCAGGGCTATCATCTAAATGGTCTCAGAGAACAAAGGATCATTTTCAAGCCTTGAGGGCTAACGTAACATGTTCTGCTGACTTGCTTGGTGTCTGTTATCCCTTCTTTCCCTCTAGTTTCTCCCATTTGTAATGGAAATGTCTAGTTTGTGCCTGTTCTGCCATTGTACCTTTGGAAGCAGGTAACTTACATTCTAGATTTCACTGATGAAGAGGAATTTTTGGATTTTGGACTTGGAGATAACACTTTTGCTATGATATGATGGCGTGAATGTGTTTTACATGTGGCAAGGACATGAATTTTGGGGGGCCAAAGGGTGCAATGTTATGGATTGAATTGTGGTACCCCCAAAAGAAATGTGTGTCAACTTGGCTAGTCCATGATTCCTAGTACTATGTGACCATGCACCATTTTGTCATCTTATGTGATTTTCCTATGTGTTGTAAATCTTACCTTTATGATGGTAATGAGGTGGGACTATGGGTAGTTATGTTAATGAGGCAGAACTCAATCTACAAGATTAGATTGTTTCTTAAATCTATCTCTTTCGAGATATAAAAGAGAGAAGCCAGCAGAAAGACATGGGGACCTCATACCATCAAGAAAGTAGCATCAGGAGAAGAGCGTATCCTTTGGACCTGGGGTCCTTGGGCCGAGAAGCTCCTAGTCCAAGGGAAGATTGATGACAAGGATCTTCCTCCACAGCTGACAGAGAGAGAAAGCCTTCCCCTGGAGCTGACACCCTGAATTTGTATTTCTAGGTTACTATACTGTGAGAGAATAAACTTTGTTTGTTGAAGCCATCTACTTGTGGTATTTCTGTTCTAGCAGCACTAGATAACTAAGACTGGTACTAATGAAATAAATTAGTACATGTCATTGACAAAGGATGTACTTCAGAAACTGATATGAATCCATAGTAACAGTCATGGAAAAAAGTTCCATGATATATCATTAAAGAAAAGAAGCAAGTTACAGAGACGTACAGAGACTATTACACACACACACACATCTCTGTACCTACTTAAATTCACACTACATCAATAAAAAAGCAGTCTGAAAAGTTACATAAAATGTTAAAGGTGTTTTATCTCTCGATGGTGGGGATATAGGTTAACAATACTACCATCTTAAATTTTTACAGTTAATATATATTATCTTTATAATTAAAAAAAAAAAAACCTACTCTTTTTTAAAGAATTCCAAAAAAGCAAAGAAAAATAGAAAACAAACAACAACAAAACCTAAGTCTGAGGAATGAATTTTTATCCCAGTAAAACAGATCAGTTAAAATATTGAGAGGTTCAAGACACTGTAAAGTATACAAAAAACAAACAAACATCAAAAACTACAGGGCTCTAAGGAAATAAACATCAAGACGGTGAGATGTAAAAAGTCACCACGACACATTCAGACAATGGACCACGACTCTAGCAATGAAAAGGAATGAACCACTAATACAGACAACAACGTGGATGGTTCACAAAAACATGATGAGCAAGAGAAACCAGATGCAAAAGGGCACATACTACATGATTCCATTTACGTGAAATTCTGGAACAGGCAAAACTAATCTATGGCGACAATAAGATGAGCGATTGCCTGATGGGAAAAGAAGGAGCTTTTTGGAAGTAATGGAAATGTTCTGTATCTTGATTTTAGTGACATTAACGTGGATGTAAGGAGCCCTGATGGTGCCGTGGTTAAGTGCTCAGCTGCTAACCGAAAGGTTGGCAGTTTGAACCCACCAGCTGTTCCACAGAAGAAAAAGTCTGGCGACCTGCTGCCATAAAGATTACAGCCTAAGAAACCCTTTGGGGCACTCTACTCTATCCTATAGGGTTACTATGAGTCGACCGGACAGCATACAACAACAACATGGATGTATACATTTGCCAAAACTCTTAAAATGGGTATATTTTATTTATATTCTTCTTTCAGCTTTAAATCCCTGAGCTTTTCCCTAATTTACCCTGACAGTGTGCAACCACTCTGCGTCTCTTCAAAACCTCACATGCAGCTGTTACATGCAAATCAGCTGCTTGAAAATTTTTGTATATTTTTATGTCTATCTTCCATTAAACTTGGTCTGCCTAAGGGAGGAACAGTAACCTTGTCAATAAATTGAGAATGTCACAAACATAGAACAACGTTCCCCTTGCCCTGTATCAGAGGGACTTTAGGATCATTAAAGTCAATGAAATTGTAAGCAAAAATGTTTTTGCATTTTTCTGATGAGAGTGTTTTCAACAGATTCTCAAAGACATCAATGACTCCAACAAAGTTAGGAATCTTGGCTACGTACTCATGTGCTCTTGCCCAACTCACACACTATAGGGCACAGGACCCGGGGCATTCTGTCTGTGATCCTAGCAAAGATGTGAGCCCACACCAAAGACACCTACTTTCCTGCATGTCAGCAGACTCTGCTGCCATCTCTTCTTCCACCCCGACGTCACCATCGCCATCTTCACCACTCATTTCTGGCTCTTCATCTATAATTTCTTCCTCTTCCTCCTCATCATCCTCTTCTTCCTCAGAAATATCTTTTAATGTAGCAAGTAGTTTACAGTACCCAGAAACTTGTTCTGGTTCACTGTCTGCTTCACTTTCAGAATCTGAAGTATCCGAACTCTCTGACTAAAAGGAAAATGGGAATTTTAAAAACAAAAACTACATTGTTCCAGTTGTGACGTTAGGTCTATCACCAGGCCAACTGTGTAAAGGTTCAGACTTTTTAAACTAAAAATTAGTTTTTCTTCAAATATCATACAATCCTATTTATCCAACCAAGCCCTGCATGAAATGTATTTAAAATAGCTCATCTAGCTACGATCCTAGAAGCTATTCATCTTTTCTAAGCAGTTAATGCTCCATGTGGGAAGAACAATGACTTTTTAAGACAGAACTTTAGATTATAATGATAGTTAACCCATGTTCCAGACATAGGACATAATCCATGTTTAAAGAGGCAACACGAGAAATTATAATACAACAAAAGAATGTAGTTTCAGTGTGGTGTAATAAGATAGGACCTTTGTTCATTCTGCACTCTATTTATGGCTCCTTTTATGCCAACCAAACAAGAACTCTCCCTTAGTATTCACTAGGAACCTTCTGGCAAGTCCCTTTAATTGGCTCTAATAGGCCAGTTTTAAACTTGGGACAGTTTCAAACCCTGGCCTCTGTATTAGTTATCACAATGGCATTTTTAGAGGCATCTGCATTCAAAACTAAGCAATATTACTAAAATAATAGCTTACACCTAAAATTGAAAAGAGTGACAATGTGGTCAAGCTTTATTATTACATATACTCTTGAAAGTAACAACCCATAACCCGCTGTTATAAAGACAGTATAAAGCATTACCAGTTGACAGATCTGTGGTTTTGTTTCCTTTCTTGAAACCCTGGGAAGAAACAAATATGGTAAATGCTAATAACTACTATGTGGCTATTAGGAAAAAGGTCTAATGACAACTTTATGTGAAAAAGGCTAAATCTACCATGAATACAGTATAATTATAGTCTTGTAAAAACTACTTGTGCGCTTGGTCAGGGACTGTAAGAATGTGACCAATGGATAATAGCCAAATGTAACGTTTACTGGGGTCACCAAAGACAGAAAATCACATTAACTGGCTCTCATCCAAAACAATGATACAACTTAACAAATAAAACACTTTGGGGTCCCCTTGTTTCTAGTCAATCTATTAGAATGTCCCGCCAACAGAATGGTGGAATGGGCACATCCTAACTGTGAGAGTCTGGACAACTGCAGAGGGACCCACAACTACCGAATGCACAGCCTGGACCAGATACATCCGTTTTCCCACTGTAACTGGACAGATTAAAATGATGCCGAAGATATCAACAAATTCTTTAAAAACGAAACAAGCTTATAAGATCTCCGACCATACAAAACTCAGTTGACACAACAGGGCGTGTCCTCCAGCATGAGTTACCAGCTCAACAGTGGGTAGGGAGACTCATGAAGAACCCCATCTCCCGGCGGGGTGTCACCAGAATCCTTAGCCGAGCACCCGCCGGGGAAGCGTAGGAAGAGGCGGGAGCAGACGTCATCATGACTTGGGAGGACGGCGGGCCCCAAACCGGGAAACTCCTGGCCGACTCTGGCAGTTCTGGCCTCGGCCCCGCCCCTCGTCCACACCTGTCATAGAAGGGATGCTCCTCGCCGAAATCCCGAAGATGTTTCTTCTGCTTTTTAGTTAGGGTGTTGAGCAGCTGGCTCTGGCTCCGGCTCCCGCGTTTGCCCATGGCAGAAACGTCAGGTTTGCCCACTCGAAAAGTCCTGTGCCACACCAGGAAGTTGTTCTGTCAACGGATCCACGTGGGTTCGTCCACGGCGCTTTACGGCGGAAGCAGAGTGCCATAAAGCAGATCCGCTTTACGTCAGGCGTTAGAACTTTCTGGTCCTGATTCTGCCCCCTGCCGAGGCTTCTGGGAAGGACCTGCGCACCCGCACAGAAACTTTGACGGCTAAGGCTTCCGGCTTCCCCGGCAAGGTGGGTGAGTGGAGGATCTTTCATGCTTCTGTTTTGATGGTAGGAATCAGTCTGCGAAAATGTGTAGTAACGGATATAATTGAGTGCGGTGACTTTCTATAATATCATAATAAAAAATAAATAACAGTATTTAAAGTTGCTTGGTACATCTCATTTCATCCTCACAGCAGTACACAAACAGGCTGTTATAAGCCTGATACTGCATGTGAGGAAACTGATGCTTACACGCGAGCAAGGGAGGAATTGAAAACCCACGTTTGTCTGATGCCACCACAGGCGTTTACCCACTAGGCTGTGCCATTCTCGGGTGCTCCCAGTGTGGCTCGTACGGTTAATTGCTGAGCCAAAATGTTGGCGGTTGGAACCCACCCAGCGGCGCCTCGGAAGACAGCGTGGTGATCTGTGGAGCACAGTTCTACTCTGACACACACGGGCTCAGCGTAAGAATCGATTCAACGGCGACCAACAGCATCTGCAAGGCTGAGCTTCCTGGCCTCATCCCACCCTTGCATTTTTTGAAAGTATCGGAAGAGACCCTGGAAACAAATCTGGTCCCACGTTCCTCATTTTACAAGAGCAGAAACACATTCAGAGAGGTAAAGTGGCTTTCCTAAAATCACTCTGAGAGCCGATGTTAGAGAAGATGGTAGAACTCTATCCAGTGTCTCAAAACTGGACTCAGACAAAAGAGGATGGAGAAACCTTCAGCGTGAAGGAAGTATACTGTTATTTTGATCGCGGTGGTAGTTACACCCTGTAAGCAAAATTCATCACACTTTACACTTAAAATTAGTGAGTTTTATGTACATAAATAATCTAAATAAACAAAAAGCAAAAAGCAAAAATAAAACTGCACTTGGTACCCAGGATCACACAGATTGGTGCAGGCTTTTTGAGACCACAGGATAAACATAATGAGAAACTTTTTCTAATAGTAACTTATAATATCATGTTCTGTTAAAAAACAAAGTGCTAAATCATAGACCAGGAGTCCTTAGATGGCGCAAATGGTTAAGCACTGGACGACTAGCAGAAATTTTGGCATTTCAAACTCACCCCAAGAAACCTGGGAAGACAGGCTTGGCAATCTGCTTCTGAAAGGTCACAGCCTTGAAAACCCTATGGAGCAGTTCTACTCTGCACACATGGGGTCACCGTGAGCCAGAATTGACTTGATGGCAACTAACAACAACAAATCATAGGTCACAAAGTTAACCCAAATATTTAAGATAAAACAGAAGGCTCTGTTATTAGAGTGCTTCTGTGGAAAATTTTGAGCTTTACCCAGTACCATGGAACACATATGGGAAGTTAATGAAACAGCATCCTATTCTTGTTGGTTTTCAGGACTATTACTCCTGATTAGACAATGGGCAGCTGAGATCTGGAGAAAGCCTATCAAGAAAATATGCAAACGGGGCAGGTGATGCCAGCACCCGGCTCAGCCAAGGAACCTATAAACAAATAGATACGTCATCTAATTTTGAGATAAAAGTACAGTCACTTATGTCAACAAAAGGTTGTCTGCAGAATGTCATCTATTTTAAGGCGCTAACCACAGTATAATTGGCCATAGCAATGAACAGCCATGCTTTTTTCCCCTCCTCCCATCCTATCCCAAGGGCCCCAGCTTCCCTACCCAGAGGCAACCAGTTTCTTGGTGTTCTTCCACAGATTTTCTATAAAAAGCTATGTTCTTGAGCACTTGAAGTGACTCCTTTCTCTCTCTTGGTTTCTACCTCCTTGTAGTCTGCGTGCAGGCCTAGGCAAAAATTCACCCTACCCCCAGCCAAGCAATCTCCTCATTGGCTCACTGAGCTGTGGAAGAGAGAACGCTCTTCTCCCAAAAATGTTTCTGTTAGCTTTTGATAAAGTAAAAGGGAACCCTTTGTGAAATCTTAACCCGAGAAACCAGAATTTAAACGCTTTTTTCATGCCTAAAGTGAAAATCCTTTTAGTAAAACCTACACAGAGAAGATGTACACACCCACAAGGGAAGAACTTAAGTAAATGGAAATGAAGGCAAATTTGTTTCTTCCCTTTCTTCTTCCCATCTTTAGCCCTCCTTTCCCCTCACCCAAAGGCTTCTATCTCAGGCACTTGGTATTTTTAGGAGTAAAAGCACTTCAGGAAATAATCTTTTATGTTAGTTCACAAAGAGATGTTAATGAATTAATAAGTTACTTTTCCTCAGGGTGTTTGTAATTTAAAGGCGATACCCTAGGATAATGATTCTCAAGGGGTGGGGAGGGCTGACTATCCCTTAGGACAAGAGTATCAGAATATACAGTAAAGTGTCATATTTTTTTTTTTAAGTTTTTTTTAACCGAAAATTTCAAATAAATACAACAGTAGACGAAATGGTATAATGAACTGCCATGTACCCATTACTCAGCTTGGATGATTATCAACTCATGGCCATTTTATTTCAAATATATACCCATCCACTGTCCATGCCCCCACCCTGCAATATTTTGAAGCAAATCCCAGACATTATATTATTTCTATAAATATTTTAGTATGCATCTATAAAAGATAAGGGTTCTGTTTTTTAAACATATCTGCAATACTATTATTTCACTTAAAAATATGATAATAATTGCTTAATATCCTGTCAGTGTTTAAATTTCTGATTGTCTCATAAACACTATGTTTTGGGTTTTTTTTTTTTTTTTTTTTTGCCAATTTGTGTCTCATTCTTTCCGGTAGGTGAAGAATTGTCATTTAAATTTTTAAGTTTGGTCAGATTGGCAAGACGGTGTTACAGGTGATATTATATATTCTTCCATCAGGAGGCATACAATGTTCTTTTTTTGATGTTGGC